GAAGCCATTTAATTGTGACTCTAAATGCAAACTTCTGCAATGCGCCAGACAAAAGAGCTCACGGCTAAAAAGGAAAGAGGAAGAGGCTTTTACCATTCTGTGCTGAATGTGCAAAAAGTCACATTTTAATGCCACAAATTATAGCTTGCACAAAAATGAAGCTTCTGTCATCATCAGCCCTGTAATAAACTGGCAATTGCAAAACAACTACTGTAATTTTCCTACTGGAAAAAGAGGCTTTACAGAAATATCAGACGAGTTTCCATCCTGTTCGATGTTAGATGATGATTAAACCTTCAATTATTAGGTCTCTTTCATTTCTTCTGGCTAACCAATTTGATTTTAACAGCATCATGAGATTAAACAGGACAGAGATTCAACTAGCTCTCTTGAGCTCATCCTGTACTGAAAGTTTTGTTGCAGTCTTCATATTATTAGTCACTCTCAGAAATAAAGGTACAAAAGCTGTCACTGGGGCAGTACCTTTTCAAAAGGATCCATTTTGGTACTTTAAAGTGTATATATTAGTGCTTAAAAGGTACAAAAGTGTACCTTTTGAAAAGGTATCACCCTAGTGACAGCTTTTGTACCTTTTTTTTTTAAGAGTGATATAAGCAATCTGTCCTTGTATACTTCAACAAATGTGTGTAGAAAATGTGAATGTGAAAGTACCTTTTTAAAGAATTTCCTGAGGCATGTTAAAACGATCATAGTTAAGATCAGCAACCTGCAGAATTTCACACTATGTGTTCAATGAAATATTAATGTGGGCTACCAAGAGCCTTCACATTCCAATGAAATGATCAACTACTGCAGTTTGCACAATGAAATAGCCAATAATGCAGATATTTTAAATATAGAAACTCTACATTATATTACAGTATGGACTGCATAAATAATAAAACAAAATGTGCATATTTATAAGTTGCTTTGATAAGAAAGGAAGTTTAAAACTAATAGTAATGATAGTGAAGAACTTCGACCGTTCATTTAGTAGCCTATGCTTAGCTCTCTACTTCTGGTGGTTGTATTTAGGCTTCATAAACGTTGTGAAAATGTGTTAGAATTATAACCTTTTGTTGGTCACAGAGGTTATCTTCTGCAATAATCCAAAAGCCAATGGAAAAATTCTGTTGGGTTTTCTCAAAGGAACCAGGGTGATGTGAACGTCCTGTTGGTCTTCAAAAATATGTCATCACTACAGCACTGGGACTACACTGTAAAAAATGACCGTGAATTTAATGGTAAAAGACTGTAAAAATGCTACAGTAAAAACTTGTTAAATGGTTAACGGTAAACTCCCCTACTATATATACGGTGAAAAACTGTATTGGACATTAATTTTACGGTAGTATACTGTTTTTGGAAGTGAAAAAGACCGTATAATTTACAGTGAATAACCGTAAATTGACATTCCCTGCATTACATTTCAAATGTGATGTTTTTTTGTTGAAATAACTATGTTTCTTCTTAGTTTTTTCTTATCAGTTTTGTATATTAGGGTTGTGTGTTACACCTAATGTTGTTAAATGAATGTTTATTGCATTATTTCAGTTTCATGTGTGTTACCATGATGGTGTTTGGTGTTTGT